GGTCCATTTGTGTGAAAACAAGGTCCAATCAGGCTGAAACGTTACAAGAAGGTAGAATCTATTGAGTTGTAAGTGATCTGAACGTTTCATGATGATCGCACATTCCTATAGGGGGTCAAACCTTGTCCCAAAGGTCACCGGGCCTGGTGTCACTTTAAAGAAGTAGTCCAGTTAAACCTTTGTGGGCTTATAACTTGGCTTCTGAATGTCCTAGAGAGGTCAGATTTGTTTTAGAGTACTCCAATCCACAGCCCCCATTACCACTAAAAGGAATGGAGTCATTAGCACTTATGGTTTTTAAATGGCACCCAGAATTATGTTGCACGAAGCACAATTTCACATCATTCTGGGTCCATTTGTGTGAAAACAAGGTCCAATCAGGCTGAAACGTCACAGAAAAGTAGAATCTATTGAGTTGTAAATGATTCCTGTGTTTTATTATGTTAGCACATTCCTATAGGGGGTCAAACCATGTCCCAAAGGTCACCGGGCCTGGTGTCACTTCAAAGAAGTAGTCCAGTTACACCTTTGTGGGCTTATAACATTTCTTCTGAATGTCCTAGAGAGGTCAGGTTTGTTTTAGTGTACTCCAACCAACAGCCCCTACAACCACAAAAAGGAATGGAGTCATTAGCACTTATGGTTTGTAAATGGCACGCAGAATTATGTTGCAAGAAGCACAATTTCACATCATTCTGGGTCCATTTGTGTGAAAACAAGGTCCAATCAGGCTGAAACGTTACAGGAAGGTAGAATCTATTTAGTTGTAAGTGATCTGAACGTTTCATGATGATCGCACATTCCTATAGGTGGTCAAACCATGTCCCAAAGGTCACCGGGCCTGGTGTCACTTTAAAGAAGTAGTCCAGTTACACCTTTGTGGGCTTATAACTTTTCTTCTGAATGTCCTAGAGAGGTCAGGTTTGTTTTAGTGTACTCCAATCAACAGCCCCTACAACCACAAAAAGGAATGGAGTCATTAGCACTTATGGTTTGTAAATGGCACCCAGAATTATGTTGCACGAAGCACAATTTCACATCATTCTGGGTCCATTTGTGTGAAAACAAGGTCCAATCAGGCTGAAACGTTACAGGAAGGTAGAATCTATTGAGTTGTAAGTGATCTGAACGTTTCATGATGATCGCACATTCCTATAGGGGTCAAACCATGTCCCAAAGGTCACCGGGCCTGGTGTCACTTTAAAGAAGTAGTCCAGTTACACCTTTGTGGGCTTATAACTTGGCTTCTGAATGTCCTAGAGAGGTCAGGTTTGTTTTAGTGTACTCCAATCAACAGCCCCTACAACCACAAAAAGGAATGGAGTCATTAGCACTTATGGTTTGTAAATGGCACCCAGAATTATGTTTCACGAAGCACAATTTCACATCATTCTGGGTCCATTTGTGTGAAAACAAGGTCCAATCAGGCTGAAACGTTACAGGAAGGTAGAATCTATTGAGTTGTAAGTGATCTGAACGTTTCATGATGATAGCACTTTCCTATAGGGGGTAAAACCATGTCCCAAAGGTCACCGGGCCTGGTGTCACTTTAAAGAAGTAGTCCAGTTACACTTTTGTGGGCTTATAACGTTTCTTCTGAATGTCCTAGAGAGGTCAGGTTTGTTTTAGAGTACTCCAATTAACAGCCCCTACAACCCCAAAAAGGAATGGAGTCATTAGCACTTATGTTTTTTAAACGGCACCCAGAATTATGTTTCACAAAGCACAATTTCACATCATTCTGGGTCCATTTATGTGAAAACAAGGTCCGATCAGGCTGAAACGTCACAGAAAAGTAGAATCTATTGAGTTGTAAAAGATTCCTGTGTTTCATGATAATAGCACATTCCTAAGGGCGTCAAATCAGGTCATAAAGGTCACCGGATCACTTGTTCCTTAAAGGCAGGGTTCCAAACACACCTTTGGGGGCTTATAACTTGGCTTCTGAATGTCTCAGAGAGGTCAGGTTTGTTTTATGGTACTAAAATCACAAGCCCCTATTATCCCAAAAAGGAATGGAGTCATTAGCACTTATGGTTTTTGAACGGCACCCAGAATTATGTTTCACAAAGCACAATTTCACATCATTCTGGGTCCATTTATGTGAAAACAAGGTCCAATCAGGCTGAAACGTCACAGAAAAGTAGAATCTATTGAGTGGTAAAAGATTCCTGTGTTTCATGATGATAGCACATTCCTGAGGGCGTCAAATCAGGTCATAAAGGTCACCGGATCACTTGTTCCTTAAAGGCAGGGTTCCAAACACACCTTTGGGGGCTTATAACTTGGCTTCTGAATGTCTCAGAGAGGTCAGGGTTGTTTTATGGTACTCCAATCACCAGCCCCTATTACCCCAAAAAGGAATGGAGTCATTAGCACTTGGTTTTTAAATGGCACCCAGATTCATGCTGCACGAAGCACAATTTCACATCATTCTGGGTCCATTTGTGTGAAAACAAGGTCCAATCAGGCTGAAACATTACAGGAAGGTAGAATCTATTGAGTTGTAAGTGATCTGAACGTTTCATGATGATAGCACATTCCTATAGGGGGTCAAACCATGTCCCAAAGATCACCGGGCCTCGTGTCAATTTAAAGAAGTAGTCCAGTTACACATTTGTGGGCTTATAACTTTTTTTCTGAATGTCCTAGAGAGATCAGGTTTGTTTCAGAGTACTCCAATCAACAACCCTACAAACACAAAAAGGAATGGAGTCATTAGCACTTATGGTTTGTAAATGGCACCCAGAATTATGTTGCACGAAGCACAATTTCACATCATTCTGGGTCCATTTGTGTGAAAACAAGGTCCAATCAGGCTGAAACGTTACAAGAAGGTAGAATCTATAGAGTTGTAAGAGATCTGAACGTTTCATGATGATCGCACATTCCTATAGGGGTCAAACCATGTCCCAAAGGTCACCGGGCCTCGTGTCACTTTAAAGAAGTAGTCCAGTTACACCTTTGCAGGCTTATAACATTTCTTCTGAATGTCCTAGAGAGGTCAGGTTTGTTTTAGAGTACTTCAATTAACAGCTCCTACAACCCCAAAAAGGAATGGAGTCATTAGCACTTATGGTTTTTAAATGGCACCCAGAATTATGTCGCACAAAGCACAATTTCTGATCATTTCGGGTCCATTTCACAGAAAAAAGCTTCAATCAGGCTGAAACGTCAGAGAAAAGTAGAATCTATTGAGTTGTAAATGATTCCTGTGTTTCATGATGATAGCACATTCCTAAGGGCGTCAAATCAGGTCATAAAGGTCACCGGATCACTTGTTCCTTAAAGGCAGGGTTCCAAACACACCTTTGTGGGCTTATAACTTGGCTTCTGAATGTCCTAGAGAGATCAGGTTTTTTTTAGTATACTCCAATCAACAGCCCCTAAAACCACAAAAAGGAATGGAGTCATTAGCACTTATGGTTTTTAAATGGCACCCAGAATTATGTTGCAGGAAGCACAATTTCACATCATTCTGGGTCCATTTGTGTGAAAACAAGGTCCAATAAGCCTGAAACGTTACAAGAAGGTAGAATCTATTTAGTTGTAAGTGATCTGAACGTTTCATGATGATCACACATTCCTATAGGGGGTCAAACCATGTCTCAAAGGTCACCGGGCCTGGTGTCACTTTAAAGACGTAGTCCAGTTACAACTTTGTGGGCTTATAACTTGGCTTCTGAATGTCCTAGAGAGGTCAGGTTTGTTTTAGTGTACTCCATTCAACAGCCCCTACAACCACAAATAGGAATGGAGTCATTAGCACTTATGGTTTGTAAATGGCACCCAGAATTATGTTGCACAAAGCACAATTTCACATCATTCTGGGTCCATTTGTGTGAAAACAAGGTCCAATCAGGCTGAAACGTTACAAGAAGGTAGAATCTATTGAGTTGTAAGTGATCTGAACGTTTCATGATGATCGCACATTCCTATAGGGGGTCAAACCATGTCCCAAAGGTCACCGGGCCTGGTGTCACTTTAAAGAAGTAGTCCAGTTACACATTTGTGGGATTATAACTTGGCTTCTGAATGTCCTAGAGAGATCGGGTTTGTTTTAGTGTACTCCAATCAACAGCCCCTACAACCTCAAAAAGGATTGGAGTCATTAGCACTTATGGTTTTTAAATGGCACCCAGAATTATGTTGCACGAAGCACAATTTCACATCATTCTGGGTCCATTTGTGTGAAAACAAGGTCCAATCAGGCTGAAACGTTACAAGAAGGTAGAATCTATTGAGTTGTAAGTGATCTGAACGTTTCATGATGATCGCACATTCCTATAGGGGGTCAACCCATGTCCCAAAGGTCACCGGGCCTGGTGTCACTTTAAAGAAGTAGTACAGTTACACATTTGTGGGCTTATAACTTGGCTTCTGAATGTCCTAGAGAGGTCAGATTTGTTTTAGAGTACTCCAATCCAAAGCCCCCATTACCACTAAAAGGAATGGAGTCATTAGCACTTATGGTTTTTAAATGGCACCCAGAATTATGTTGCACGAAGCACAATTTCACATCATTCTGGGTCCATTTGTGTGAAAACAAGGTCCAATCAGGCTGAAACGTCAAAGAAAAGTAGAATCTATTGAGTTGTAAATGATTCCTGTGTTTTATTATGTTAGCACATTCCTATAGGGGGTCAAACCATGTCCCAAAGGTCACCGGGCCTGGTGTCACTTCAAAGAAGTAGTCCAGTTACACCTTTGTGGGCTTATAACATTTCTTCTGAATGTCCTAGAGAGGTCAGGTTTGTTTTAGTGTACTCCAACCAACAGCCCCTACAACCACAAAAAGGAATGGAGTCATTAGCACTTATGGTTAGTAAATGGCACGCAGAATTATGTTGCACGAAGCACAATTTCACATCATTCTCGGTCCATTTGTGTGAAAACAAGGTCCAATCAGGCTGAAACGTTACAGGAAGGTAGAATCTATTTAGTTGTAAGTGATCTGAACGTTTCAAGATGATCGCACATTCCTATAGGGGGTCAAACCATGTCCCAAAGGTCACCGGGCCTGGTGTCACTTTAAAGGAGACATAACATGCATTTAAATTATTCCTTTTTTGCAGCTAAATCATTCAGTTGGTGTCTAAAAATAGTGAAACAGCCTTTCTTTGGTCAGATTTCCTCATTAATGTTGATCTAAAGACCCCTCCTTTACCCCTATTCTGAGCACACGGTCAGCATGAGCCGTTCTAGGTACTGTCTCTTTAAATCTGGAAGAAGCACTGAAACTCCGCCCCTTCTTCTGAGCAGGAGCGGAGGGGGTGACTCCAGTCGTACATTTTAGTAGTTTTTTTTAGAGAAAACGCTATTTAGCATATCTGAACCTTTGTGACAGCATTTTTTTGACATGTCGGGAGATTTGTCTATCCAGCCGTACATGTTTGAGCCAGAGTCCGACCCTGAGCAACAAGACAATGAAGAGAATGATTCTGACCAACCACGGCTACAAATGCATATAAACCAATGGTATATAACTAGCACTTAATTACTATTTATTCGTTTATTCATCGTCCTCCTGCGCACTGAAACCACTGTGAAGAAAATCCTCTTGGGCGCTTTCTGTAGCACTTCTCTAACCATTCCTTCATTAGACTTTTATTTAATGTGGTTTTAGGTGTACATGTGGGAACTGCTCTACAATGCCCACTGAGATAGAAAATCTATGCTGTAAAGAAATTCCTAAGGTCAGTGTGTTTTACAATAAAACCTAAATCTATTTTACTTTCATTCTAAATAAAATATAACTTATTAGGTTAAAGCCAGAATGGATGAAGTATCAAGCACAATGACATGCATGGTGGATCATCCAGGGTTAGAGCCTGTCTGCCTCAATGTGTATTCACTGCAGAATGCAATAAATGTTTACAAGGCCCAGTTTGGACCCTTACGTCTAAGAGGAATTGTACAGTAAGAAAAAAGTTTTTATTGGTTCTTCATATACAAATATTATTTAAAAAAATCTCACAGCAAATACGTAAATCCAAAGCAAAAAAAAAAAAAAAAAAACACTATAGTAGTGTTAATGGACATTTGTTAATGTCTTCTCTTTCTGTTACAGTCGTTACAGGTACTGTTCATACAGATGCTTTGTTTCCTGGTGCTGGGGATATCTGGGCCGCAATGTTCGTGTCGTCCTGCCGTCTTGTGTTGTGCTCAGGATACGGCAGGAGTTTCCAGATGATGAGGGGCGTTATGTTGGCTTCAAACCGGTGCTGGGTTGAAGCGGGAAACATAGGCCGAGACAACTGTTGTCTTCTCTGGTCTGGTGTACTCAGATGAGAGGGTTGGTGGGATGTTAATCTTTGCTACCTCATCGACAAATGGAGTTGGGTCAGGGAAAACTTGTTCAAAGACCAGCTGCATGATGTCATCCACGTATTCTGCAATGACACAAACAGTATTGACATTTGTTTTTACATGCAAGTTATTGAATGTAGTATGTAGTAGTATGTTCTTTTGCACTGCTGTTTATAATGGTGTTTTTGGTTGTGTTTTTAGTCATTATTTATTTTATTTATAATTTCATTTTGCTGCTGGTTTTTCAGATTTTTGTAAAATTTTCAATAAAAAACGGAAAATAAAATGAATCAATTTATTGTTTTCCAGTTATCATATTAGAGAGCAACGCAGTTGAACTTACTAAATGTTGGAGCTGTTTTGATTGGCCTTGCTGTTGCTTCTCCCTTCTTGAACTTTGGAAAACACAGCCTGAACATATGCTGGCCAGACGAGGTAGTAGCGGTCAGACGCTGGCCATTTTCGTTGAAGTGCAGCGCTGCCAGAAAAAGCCTGAAAGACAAAATGGATATTCTCTAATTTATTAAGACATTTTTCTTTTTATACAGCATTCTGAATAAAAAGAAAATTAATTAATTAACTTGTCATGCTGCCATCTAGTGATGTGAGTGGGGATGTGTTTTAGATTTGAAATGATAATGACACTCTCTTTCCTGGTAGTGTTTTGTCTTTGTACAGCATTTTATCATACTTTTGATTACCTGCACAGCATTCCCAGGAAAGGGTAGTGTGAGTGTTTTGGTGCAAACTGCAAAATCACACTGTGGAAGGCTTCTATGGCTGATGTCTGCAAGTGAGGGCTTAGCTTTTCTACATCCTTCAGAATCCTCTTTGTGGTCCACAGGTTCTCCAGTCTGCAGAATGCTGGTGTTGCTATAAAAGAAAAGTAATAATAAACTGACAGCCTAATTAGATTAATTATTCATAATACAATCCCCACCTGGTTTTAACCATTTGCTTTTATCTCTCGACGTGCGTTGTGGATGTAAACACCGAGGGAAAACTGGATCATCATGCGAGTGAATGTTCTGCACATGGTTTAAGATGGAGGTCCACTTAGCCACTCTTTCCTGTGGAGTTGAAGATGAAGCAGCAGTCCAGTAAATGTGATTCTTCAGGCTGCGAAGCCACCTGCTCAGTTCAGCGCAGTCTTTGTTTTGTGCAATCTTTGTCATCTTTTTGGATAACCCTTATCAAAAAGAAAGTAGTAAAGAACACAAGACACCAAATAATTTCATTATTATAAATCCAGGGTCATTAAAAAGTCCTTATATAACCAAGTCAACCTAAATACAGTCAAAAATACCTTTTTGGATATGCCACACATCGTAGTAGTGGGTGATCTTGGCCACTTGTCTCAGGTACTTCTGGACTTGAGGATGGCGGTCAGTAACAACACAGTCCAAAGATATATTGTGTTCATTTAAGACACCTAGACTGCGTTTCAGACCCTCAAGCTCCATGTAGTAACTTCCACCAACTTCATTGCTCTGCTTGAGCAAAATAAACATTATTAATTAATTGCAATATGAATTAAAAATTATTTTGTGGATCTCTAGCAGATAATAACTTCTTGAAACATTTCTCATCACTGCACAAACCTGAACGAGTTGCAAATCCACTATCCTCTGGCTCCTCAGATCCATCATGGTATAACTGCCATACTTCGCAGAGTGACCTTTTAGAAGCACAATGTGAATTTAACTCATTAGATAAAATTTATAGTTACAGCAAAATCAAATAAAGGATAATTATTTACCTGGAGAGTCAGCCCTCATGTCACCACCAAGTATGGCAGGTTGTTGATTTAGCTCCTCCATCATGCCATCCTGTGCTGACTTCCACGCATGTACAATAGCTGGCTCAATATACAGTCTTGCATGCCGTCGGAATGTGAAGTGGTGGAACATTTGAAGTTTCATTGCCTGGAAAATCTAAGGAAACACAAAACATTATGTCTAAATATATACCATATTTTGGAAGTTTATATTGTGATGGAAGTTAGTTATTCATTACTTTTTCCAATTTGAAGAATGATCCACCGTTTGAATAAACAGCAACAGAAAGTTGAAGATTCCCCACTGGAGTACCTCCATGTAATGGCTGACTATTCCATTTTCTAAGATAATCACAGTGGAGACATCGCTGCTCGACAGTCAGAAAAGTGCCAATTCTTCTGGTCTGCACCCTTGTTGCTCGTTGACACACAGGGCATTTCTCAAACAGTTCCAAAAGGCATTTCTCATATACTATATAGGTATTCACACTGTATGCTGGAACTGATGTGTCCTTTCTAGAGTGGATATAAAACAAATAATTAATGAATAATTTGTGAATGTATCTGAAAGAATATAAATAAATGCTGGTGCTGTATAGCTTACGTGTGTTCAGTGATGTCCGTCAAAGCACTTATTGATGCCAGAGGGTCATATGTTTTATCTTGTGGGCTTGGGATGTTCATTGAACTACTGCCTTCTAAAGTGTCGTCAGCGTCTGTGGTCTCATCCAAACAAGGTCTCTTTATAGGTGTGATATGTTCTTCTGGTATAGCAGACAAATGTTGGCGCTTCACTGGTGTGGAGGTCACAAAATGTGTGGTGTGAAGAGAGCCTGTTGTTGAAGTACCAGCTACAACTTCAGAGAAATCCATGCTTGTCTGTGTGCCTTACAGTGAAAAATAAATTAACAATACTGCCAACTTTGTTTGCTTAACTACATTTCTTACAGAAATTTGCTAGCATGGCAGTGTAAACATTTAACTTACCTATACTTCTGAAATGTGGCCCTAGAGTTTTCAGTGAGAGTTGGGTTCCAACTGCACGCATCTGTGGTTTCGTCTGACAGCCTGAACTGGTAAAAGATGGCTTCTGTGTCCTTGGTGTTGGGAGCTGGAAATGAAATAGTGCATTTTTAATTGCATTGTAACATGTGCAATAACAGTACAGTACAGATGATTGTTTAATAACACAATCAATTTTTATAAATTATAATAATTTGGTATTTCTGCTATGCATCTTACATCAAATGAAGTCACTTGTACACTGCCACTTTTTCCACTCATAACATTCAGCTACATCTGAAACTGTTTGACTTCATTGCAGAGCAAAGCTCACCTGTGATGTCTTCTCATTAAATGACCTAGTTCTCGGATTTGACATTACTGATCACACAACGTGATGTAGATACACGTAGGACACGAAAAATAAGCTTAAAGTAGCATCTTTGACACAACTTGTCAGACATTTTTGTCCAAAAACACAGAATAGAGGAGGTTTAGTGTTTTTACATAGGCCCTACAGTGTGCATTTCAGAAGGAATATGAAAAAATGGTTTAAACTTCGTTTTAGGATCGGTTTGATTGTAAATACACACGGAAAATACGCTTTCTTGACAATCCTTGTCATTGTTTTGGGATGAAAACGTGAATATAAAAATAATACACGCGCATTTACACCAAAATACCGGTGAATCCGGGTCAACGCATGCGTTCCGTTAGTGGTTCTGGAGCTTTTGGGTCGCAGCCTGATAGCAGCGCTGCTAAACAATGCGATAATCTCACGGTGGGCAAGCAAAATATAAAACGTGTTTAGCTGTCCATGAGATGTAAATGGCAGTCCCTTACCCCTGTTTAATACAGGATGCACAATGCAAAACTTTGATCGACTTCTAATTTACAGTACATAATATTGGTGCACAAGAGAAACATCAGCTCTAAATGCTAAATTAGCATTTAGCTAGCTTAACGACCACATGGTGCTAACAAAAGCAATCGGCATGCCCTAAGGCTATTAAAATGGTTGGAGTTCACAAAAGGAAAGTAGTAAATTAACTTTGCAGTCAGTTATTAATTATATCAAGCTTACCTCTTTGCTGGTGTGTCCATCATCCCCATACTCAGTGGGAACTGAGCCCTCAATGAGTCGAAGCCTTTGGGCTAGTCCTTCTCTGTACTGCAGTAGGTTGGTGAAGCACTCGTATTTAAAGTGCTTTGAGCAAACAAAAAGTACTTTACGCACAGAAGATGGGACATTACCATGAAAAATAAAATTCAACCAGGCAATTCTAACTTCTTCTGATGCAGGAGGACGGTGTAAACACTCGTGTGGATGAGTACATCCATAGACAGAGCATTTCAAGTTATCTAACCGTGGTTTTGGCATTATTCACTCTGGACTACAACTGTCCTAGCGAGGGGAAAAAAATGGCGGCTTTACTTTCTGTGTAGCCAGAGAGCCATGACCATATTTGGTAGTTATCCGGACTAAATTAATTACTGACGTCACTGATAATGTAAAAACTGAACGGGTGGACAAATATGCCCAAAACTTAATTATTAAATATCTAAATAGCAACTCCAGTGAATAATATAAGCCTTTTTGCTCACTTAGACACTTAAAATGTGAAACACACTGTGTTAATGGATAAAAAAGTGGGTTTTTCATGTTATGTCTCCTTTAAAGAAGTAGTCCAGTTACACCTTTGTGGGCTTATAACGTTTCTTCTGAATGTCCTAGAGAGGTCAGGTTTGTTTTAGTGTACTCCAATCAACAGCCCCTACAACCACAAAAAGGAATGGAGTCATTAGCACTTATGGTTTGTAAATGGCACCCAGAATTATGTTGCACGAAGCACAATTTCACATCATTCTGGGTCCATTTGTGTGAAAACAAGGTCCAATCAGGCTGAAACGTTACAGGAAGGTAGAATCTATTGAGTTGTAAGTGATCTGAACGTTTCATGATGATCGCACATTCCTATAGGGGGTCAAACAATGTCCCAAAGGTCACCGGGCCTGGTGTCACTTTAAAGAAGTAGTCTAGTTACACCTTTGTGGGCTTATAACTTGGCTTCTGAATGTCCTAGAGAGGTCAGGTTTGTTTTAGTGTACTCCAATCAACAGCCCCTACAACCACAAAAAGGAATGGAGTCATTAGCACTTATGGTTTGTAAATGGCACCCAGAATTATGTTGCACGAAGCACAATTTCACATCATTCTGGGTCTATTTGTGTGAAAACAAGGTCCAATCAGGCTGAAACGTTACAGGAAGGTAGAATCTATTGAGTTGTAAGTGATCTGAACGTTTCATGATGATAGCACTTTCCTAAGGGGGTCAAACCATGTCCCAAAGGTCACCGGGCCTGGTGTCACTTTAAAGAAGTAGTCCAGTTACACATTTGTGGGCTTATAACTTGGCTTCTGAAAGTCCTAGAGAGGTCAGGTTTGTTTTAGAGTACTCCAATCCACAGCCCCCATTACCACTAAAAGGAATGGAGTCATTAGCACTTATGGTTTTTAAATGGCACCCAGAATTATGTTGCACGAAGCACAATTTCACATCATTCTGGGTTCATTTGTGTGAAAACAAGGTCCAATCAGGCTGAAACGTTACAGGAAGGTAGAATCTATTGAGTTGTAAGTGATCTGAACGTTTCATGATGATAGCATTTTCCTAAGGGGGTCAAACCATGTCCCAAAGGTCACCGGATCTAGTGTCAACTTAAAGAAGTAGTCCAGTTACACATTTGTGGGCTTATAACTTGGCTTCTGAATGTCCTAGAGAGATCAGGTTTGTTTTAGTATACTCCAATCAACAGCCCCTACAACCACAAAAAGGAGTGGAGTCATTAGCACTTATGGTTTTTAAATGGCACCCAGAATTATGTTGCACGAAGCACAATTTCACATCATTCTGGGTTCATTTGTGTGAAAACAAGGTCCAATCAGGCTGAAACGTTACAGGAAGGTAGAATCTATTGAGTTGTAAGTGATCTGAACGTTTCCTAATGATAGCACATTCCTAAGGGGGTAAAACCATGTCCCAAAGGTCACCGGATCTGGTGTCAATTTAAAGAAGTAGTCCAGTTACACATTTGTGGGCTTATAACTTGGCTTCTGAATGTCCTAGAGAGATCAGGTTTGTTTTAATGTACTCCAACCAACAGCCCCTCCAACCACAAAAAGGAATGGAGTCATTAGCACTTATGGTTTTTAAATGGCACCCAGAATTATGTTGCACGAAGCACAATTTCACATCATTCTGGGTCCATTTGTGTGAAAACAAGGTCCAATCAGGCTGAAACGTTACAAGAAGGTAGAATCTATTGAGTTGTAAATGATCTGAACGTTTCATGATGATCGCACATTCCTATAGGGGGTAAAACCATGTCCCAAAGGTCACCGGGCCTGGTGTCACTTTAAAGAAGTAGTCCAGTTACACCTTTGTGGGCTTATAACTTGGCTTCTGAATGTCCTAGAGAGGTCAGGTTTGTTTTAGAGTACTCCAATCCACAGCCTCCATTACCACTAAAAGGAATGGAGTCATTAGCACTTATGGTTTTTAAATGGCACCCAGAATTATGTTGCACGAAGCACAATTTCACATCATTCTGGGTTCATTTGTGTGAAAACAAGGTCCAATCAGGCTGAAATGTTGCAAGAAGGTAGAATCTATTGAGTTGTAAGTGATCTGAACGTTTCATGATGATCGCACATTCCTATAGGGGGTAAAACCATGTCCCAAAGGTCACCGGAACTGGTGTCACTTTAAAGAAGTAGTCCAGTTACTCATTTGTGGGCTTATACCTTGGCTTCTGAATGTCCTAGAGAGATCAGGTTTGTTTTAGTGTACTCCAATCAACAGCCCCTACAACCTCAAAAAGGATTGGAGTCATTAGCACTTATGGTTTTTAAATGGCACCCAGAATCATGTTGCACGAAGCACAATTTCACATCATTCTGGGTCCATTTGTGTGAAAACAAGGTCCAATCAGGCTGAAACGTTACAAGAAGGTAGAATCTATTGAGTTGTAAATGATTCCTGTGTTTAATTATGATAGCACATTCCTATAGGGGGTCAAACCATGTCCCAAAGGTCACCGGGCCTGGTGTCACTTCAAAGAAGTAATCCAGTTACACCTTTGTGGGCTTATAACATTTCTTCTGAATGTCCTAGAGAGGTCAGGTTTGTTTTAGTGTACTCCAATCAACAGCCCCTAAAACCACAAAAAGGAATGGAGTCATTAGCACTTATGGTTTGTAAATGGCACCCAGAAGTATGTTGCACGAAGCACAATTTCACATCATTCTGGGTCCATTTGTGTGAAAACAAGGTCCAATCAGGCTGAAACGTTACAGGAAGGTAGAATCTATTTAGTTGTAAGTGATCTGAACATTTCATGATGATCGCACATTCCTATAGGGGGTCAAACCATGTCCCAAAGGTCACCGGGCCTGGTGTCACTTTAAAGAAGTAGTCCAGTTACACGTTTGTGGGCTTATAACGTTTCTTCTGAATGTCCTAGAGAGGTCAGGTTTGTTTTAGTGTACTCCAATCAACAGGCACTACAACCACAAAAAGGAATGGAGTCATTAGCACTTATGGTTTGTAAATGGCACCCAGAAATATGTTGCACGAAGCACAATTTCACATCATTCTGGGTCCATTTGTGTGAAAACAAGGTCCAATCAGGCTGAAACGTTACAGGAAGGTAGAATCTATTGAGTTGTAAGTGATCTGAACGTTTTATGATGATCGCACATTCCTATAGGGGGTCAAACCATGTCCCAAAGGTCACCGGGCCTGGTGTCACTTTAAAGAAGTAGTCCAGTTACACCTTTGTGGGCTTATAACTTGGCTTCTGAATGTCCTAGAGAGGTCAGGTTTGTTTTAGTGTACTCCAATCAACAGCCCCTAAAACCACAAAAAGGAATGGAGTCATTAGCACTTATGGTTTGTAAATGGCACCCAGAAGTATGTTGCACGAAGCACAATTTCACATCATTCTGGGTCCATTTGTGTGAAAACAAGGTCCAATCAGGCTGAAACGTTACAGGAAGGTAGAATCTATTTAGTTGTAAGTGATCTGAACGTTTCATGATGATCGCACATTCCTATAGGGGGTAAAACCATGTCCCAAAGGTCACCGGATCTGGTGTCAATTTAAAGAAGTAGTCCAGTTACACATTTGTGGGCTTATAACTTGGCTTCTGAATGTCCTAGAGAGATCAGGTTTGTTTTAATGTACTCCAACCAACAGCCCCTCCAACCACAAAAAGGAATGGAGTCATTAGCACTTATGGTTTTTAAATGGCACCCAGAATTATGTTGCACGAAGCACAATTTCACATCATTCTGGGTTCATTTGTGTGAAAACAAGGTCCAATCAGGCTGAAATGTTGCAAGAAGGTAGAATCTATTGAGTTGTAAGTGATCTGAACGTTTCATGATGATCGCACATTCCTATAGGGGGTAAAACCATGTCCCAAAGGTCACCGGAACTGGTGTCACTTTAAAGAAGTAGTCCAGTTACTCATTTGTGGGCTTATACCTTGGCTTCTGAATGTCCTAGAGAGATCAGGTTTGTTTTAGTGTACTCCAATCAACAGCCCCTACAACCTCAAAAAGGATTGGAGTCATTAGCACTTATGGTTTTTAAATGGCACCCAGAATTATGTTGCACGAAGCACAATTTCACATCATTCTGGGTCCATTTGTGTGAAAACAAGGTCCAATCAGGCTGAAACGTTACAAGAAGGTAGAATCTATTGAGTTGTAAATGATTCCTGTGTTTAATTATGATAGCACATTCCTATAGGGGGTCAAACCATGTCCCAAAGGTCACCGGGCCTGGTGTCACTTCAAAGAAGTAATCCAGTTACACCTTTGTGGGCTTATAACATTTCTTCTGAATGTCCTAGAGAGGTCAGGTTTGTTTTAGTGTACTCCAATCAACAGCCCCTAAAACCACAAAAAGGAATGGAGTCATTAGCACTTATGGTTTTTAAATGGCACCCAGAATTATGTTGCACGAAGCACAATTTCACATCATTCTGGGTCCATTTGTGTGAAAACAAGGTCCAATCAGGCTGAAACGTTACAAGAAGGTAGAATCTATTGAGTTGTAAATGATCTGAACGTTTCATGATGATCGCACATTCCTATAGGGGGTAAAACCATGTCCCAAAGGTCACCGGGCCTGGTGTCACTTTAAAGAAGTAGTCCAGTTACACCTTTGTGGGCTTATAACTTGGCTTCTGAATGTCCTAGAGAGGTCAGGTTTGTTTTAGAGTACTCCAATCCACAGCCTCCATTACCACTAAAAGGAATGGAGTCATTAGCACTTATGGTTTTTAAATGGCACCCAGAATTATGTTGCACGAAGCACAATTTCACATCATTCTGGGTTCATTTGTGTGAAAACAAGGTCCAATCAGGCTGAAATGTTGCAAGAAGGTAGAATCTATTGAGTTGTAAGTGATCTGAACGTTTCATGATGATCGCACATTCCTATAGGGGGTAAAACCATGTCCCAAAGGTCACCGGAACTGGTGTCACTTTAAAGAAGTAGTCCAGTTACTCATTTGTGGGCTTATACCTTGGCTTCTGAATGTCCTAGAGAGATCAGGTTTGTTTTAGTGTACTCCAATCAACAGCCCCTACAACCTCAAAAAGGATTGGAGTCATTAGCACTTATGGTTTTTAAATGGCACCCAGAATTATGTTGCACGAAGCACAATTTCACATCATTCT